CGACGCAGCCACGCACGTCTGGCAGCACGACACGTATCTCACGCGGCTGCACTGCCTTGTTCAAGCCGCATCGACGGCCGTCACAGTCCGTCCTATCACGAACGGCCGGCGCGCGCTTCTGGTCTACAACCTTGTCGACACGTCGCCGTCGACGACCTTTGAGGACGCGGTGGCCACGCTCGCGGCGGCGGCGCGCAAAACGCCTCGTTCGTTCAACTTTGCGAGTCTCCGATTGGCGGTGCGCAACCCGACACTGGCCTATGACGAGCTCTCGAATGGCGACAAGAACGTGGTCCGGGCGCTGCTGGAGTCGGGCGCCTACGACGTGGTGCTCGCCGAGCATGAGAAATACGCTGACCTCTTCAACGTCGGCGACCTGGGGTTCGCAGCGACGATCAAGCGCTTCCAGGAGGTGCCGGGCGCGGCGCTGCCTCGCGTCGTGGCCGACCGCACGCAGTACCTTGCGGCCGAGGCCCTCCTCTTGGAGAAGGCGAATCCACGGAAGGACCACTGCAATGGGCCGCAGTACTCGGTCTTTTTCTGGCCCAAGTCGGCACGCATCCTCGTCGTCGACCTCGCGACCGGCGTCAACGCGCTTCGGGACGCCGTTCGCAACCGTTCGGTTGTTGATACTCTTCTCGGCCAACCGTCGATCGAGGCCCTTCTGGACGCGCTCCTGCTTCGGTTTGCTGACCGCTCCAAGCCCGACCTCGATGCGTCGTACGGAAAAGCCTTGGTGTGTTGTGCAATGTGCTCATTGCGCGTCGACAACGCGATACAGTCCAGCACCTGCTCCGCGACGTCGTTCGGTATACCAAGGACGCCGATGCGTTTCCGGGCGTCGCGTCGGCCATCTCGGCTCTCATCGCCTTCTTTGGCTGGGAGACGCTCTCGGTCTCGCTGCACGCCATGTTGCGCCGCTGGAGCCAGACCGCGCGGGGCCTCCACTTGTGCTATTGCCTCGTCGCCAGCTTGGCCGGCGCCGCCGAGTCGCCCATGTGCGCGCGCATTTCGCAGCCGTTCGCGGTCGAGTGCATCGTGTCGCTGTGGTCCCAACTTGCGGCCGAGGTCGAGTATGTCATTCAGCCCGGCGGTACGGTCATCTTGGAAGACGGCTGCATGAACGACAGCTGCGCGGTCGCGGCCCCGCGCTCTATCTTTCAGTACTCGTTGTTTCTGCAGTTGTACGTGGCGCAC